CCAGCCCCAGCCCCAGTCAATGCCCCAACCCATGCACAAAATCACTCGTCAAACAATAAGGGACTTGCCACCGATACCCAAGTTCCGGAAGCAGCAATCCCAGCAGCTGCAGCGTCAGAATTTTCCAATTGTGAGGCGTGCCTCGGGCTCAGGTGTGTCCACATCGGCGTCAGCACATTCGCTGGCCAGCAGACTGCTCTCGCTGGAGCTATTCAATCCGGCCACTGATGATCTGGACAGCGACTCCAGTGAGCCCTCCTCGCCCGATTCCATTGACAGCGTCATCAGTGCGCCGCGTTCGGCCAAGTTGCCAACTGGCAATGGCGGCGATGGTGAAGATGCATCGACATCCGCCTCCCAGGACGAGGGAGATTCCAGCCTGGCTCAGATGATCAGTTTGCAGCAGGAGCAGTACCACAAGGGCGAGTATCAGATCAACAACGCCGTGCCACATGCCAACGATGACATCATTCTCAATGCGGACAGTGCTCCACTGCTGCCGAAGAAACGGGAGTCCGGACACACGCAGGATTGTGCGGAGTTTGCAGAGCAGCTGACGGCGCAGCTGCAGCGTGAGTTGGAGGATAAGAGCAATCGTGCCAAGTGCCGTTCCCTGGATGGTATTGGAGATCTTTCCGAGTACTTGGGCGGCACCAAGAAACGCTCGAATGGGGAACTGAGCGCCTTCCGGGATGAGTTGCGAGAGCGTCGCTTGATGCTGGTCAATCTATCAACGCAGCCAAGTCTGCAGCAGTCACCGATATCGTCCAGCACATCCTCGCTGTCCTCGCAGACGCGTAGCTTCACCATACAAGAGGAGGATGGTGAAGAGGAGGACGAGGAGGAGGAGAATGAGTCCAGCTACTCGCTGGGCATCTACGAGCACTGCAAAATCTCCAAGTTCAACTACAAACGGAATCGCCACTACCAGCTCAATCCGGAGACGGCCTACCTGCTTCAGGACGATGGAGACAGCGATGTACGCGACGACGATGATGATGTCATTCCTGAAGAGGAGGAGGACGAAGATGCCGAGGCTCTCGAAGCACGTGGCGGCGATCAGCTGGGCGAGGGCCTAGGCCATGCCTCCATGCACGACTACGTACAGCGTCGCCGCAACATGGCAGCCATGAAGCAGGACACGCACAGCTCCACGCCCTTGACTGTGTGCGCAAATCCTTCGGCCACGCAACAGCAGAAGGCACCGCTGCAGCAGCGCAACTCTACCGAATCGATAGAGCACTCGAACAGCTCCACGAACTCTCTGGACAGTCCCTCGCAGGGCGGCTCGAGCACGCATCATCGCTACTACCATGTGTTCCGCGAGGGCGAACTGGATTCGCTGATTAACCATCATGTGGCCAGTTTGCATATCGTGGGCTCGTACTACGAACGCGCCAGCTGGTGTGTGGTGGCCGAAAAGGTTCAGGTGTGGACCATTTAAACTCTAAACCCCTAGTCCTCCTCAAGATGAGTATCTTATGCCCCCAATGGAATTGTTATATTTAGCCTCTTAACTCTAGTCGAACCAAAAAACCAATTGAAGCGGGGAAACCCCATAGCATTATTTTATCGGCAGCTCTAACCTGGCAGTATACTGCATGGTTTGTGTCGTCGGCAACTCGTGATTTTCAGAGTTGCCAGGCCTGTTCAAGAACGGCAGGGTTGCACTGCATTGAAATCAAATTTCAAAAAAAGAAAAATAAGAACCAAATATGAAATTAGACTGTAAGGAAAAAATCGAATACGAAAACGAAAACAACGCAAAGTAAACAGAGAAAATATATAAACATAACATTAAACATACATATAGGGAACTTAAAACATCTATAATTATTATAGATTATAATCTATTTACAAAGAGTCACAGTTTGCGCTTGTTTCTCAGTTTATGTAACACTTTTTTGCACTTTATCATTTCTGATCGACTAAACGTCAAATATCCATAAGAAAGTTGACAATTGTATACGCTCATAAAGAATTTCCATATATAGCACCCACCTAAGCGGTTTAAGGATTAAAGCAGCTCCCATAACTAACGGAATATCAATACGTGATTTAGAGGACAAAGAAAAACCCGTACGTAAACACATGTACTCGTACTATACTCAATACAAATCAACATCAAAAAGAAAATACTCTAACGCAAACTCTTACATACGCCTACCTAGCCCTGCCACCACCCAATATTCCAAAACTATTTTCCAAATATTTTTAAACTATTTTTGAAACTTTTTATACTCGGTACTCGAAGAGTAAATAGGGAAGGAAACGTTTCCGATCCCATAAAGTATATATATTCTTGATCAGCATCAATAGCCGAGTCGATTGAGCCATGTCTGTCTGTCCGTCCGTCTGTCCGCCCTGATGAGCGCCTAGTACTCAGAGACTATAAAAGCTAGAGCCTCAAATTTTGCATCCAGACTTCTGTATGCTCACACTGTTATAAGTGTATTTCAAAAATGAGCCCCGCCCCCTTCCGCCCCCGAAAAATGGTGAAAGCCTTCAAATCATACAATTTGAAAGATATGGCAGATATATATTTGTTAGATATGGCCATTCCGTAGGGAATAACCATATCTAACAGATCACCAAATTGGGATCCGATTGGATCATTATTATAGCCACAATAAAGAAATCAATTTGCAATGGCTAAACACACCCTGTCCCGCAGCTTGTGTTGTTATTTTTTGCACATTCTCTCAATTACACTCTGCTTCGCGCAGTGTGCGACCGCTGCCTCTGCCTAGGGAAGTTTGTGGGTCTAGGAAGGGGGGGGGGGCGAGCTAAAGGAGCGTGTTGGCGTGAGAAGTGTTGAAAATGTAGATGACAAACGAAAAAAAAAGTAAAATTTGACAAAAAATCGGTACGGTACAGATGTAGTACTGAGTACCGGGTATAAAAGTTGTGACGCGTACGAAGCGTGTCACACGTCCCTTCTCGTTTTATTTGAATTAAACTTTCCAAAATTTCCCCAAAACGTCCAATAAACAAACACGAATGTAAGCCCAAGCCTAAATTACACAGTTTTTGTCTATGTAAGTGCTGTTATTTGTAAAATACACACAGACATTTTCAATCAAATTTTATTTATATGCATGCTTATACATAACTTTATCCTATATGCGACTGTATGTAAATGTGTATTTGTAGGTAGCAAACAAACAACAGAAACTAAAAGTAAAAACAAACCTTATACTACGAATAGAACAAATTACATTATTAATAACGATTGTTGGACGAAACTCTAAATCACTACCGCTCGAAATGCTGAAACTACCAGATATTTGATATGTATTACTGGAAATTATTGTATAATTTGCACAAAAGGAAAACAGCCAAAAACACACACACAACAAAGAGACACAACAGAACCGGCTAAAACAGAGGAATACCATCAAAAAATATTCAATAGTATTCATTTGTTATGCATTAACAACATTAAATAAACAAGTTATAGCTAAAAATGGAAAAATGTATTTCTAATTTTCAAATAGCGCCCACTCCCACTTCATGTAAACGGAACCACACAGAGCGAGTTTGGCGTGTTCAAGTGCATAGAACGCACGCCCAAAAGGGCTTTTTTCCTCTTCTGAGTGGTAAGAGGTAAAAGAAAGAAAGTAATAATGACCATATCTATCAGACAGCCGAATTGGGATCAGATTGGATCATTATTATAGCCAGAATGAACAAATTATTTTGCAGTGGCTGAACCCAACCCGTCCATCACCTTTTTCTTTTAATTTTTTTGCACATTCTCTCATCCACAATCTGCTTCGTGTAGTGGTCCTGAGGGGGAGACAGATGCAGAAAAAAATTTAAAATGGCAAATGAAAATTTTTGGGGGGGAAAAGAACAATAAGGTACAGATATACTAACTGAGAACCGGGTATAAAAGTTGCGACGTGTAAGAACACGTTCTTACTCGTTTTGTTTTTGTAGCGTTGAAATAATCATTGCTCGGATACAGGTACAGGATAGAAGAGAACCCTGAAAACAGACTTTTTATGCGAAAAACGCATGTTTTAGAGGTTGGTCGAAGGCAAGGTCTTCAATATACTGAAAAGTTATGAAACCAATTTTTAAGACAGTTCGTAAACGATTGAATACCCTTTATTTAATTGCAATAAATGGAGTATAGGGTATACGGCTAAAGTTTGCAAGAACGCATGTGGCTGTACTGTCACAGTGAAAAAATAAACTTTTGTCTGATGAGCGTAAAGTTGTATAATATGGTAAAAAAAAAAACAAAGATAATTTCTTTGGCGTTCACAGACATGAGATTAGTGTCCAAATTCTTGAAAAAAAACAGTATTGGGCATGTTGTGTTGATCCTTATGAGCTTAAGCCTATCTAAAGCGCTACTTCCTAGCCTTGCGTTGGAGTATTCCAGTTGAAAAACACCTCTAAAAAGTATCTTTCAACAAGATAATGATGGTAATGATCGTACTCAAGAAATCTCTCCAGGAATTGGTTTTCATCTGAAAAGATCGGCGTATTGCATGTTCAAATCAGTCCCTGGATCTGAATGTCATCAAAAACTTATGGAGAACGAGAAGGAATGTGTGAGACGCTTCTTACGCGTCACAACTTTTATACCCGTCACTCAGTACTACATCTGTACTCAAGCGGTTATATGTCAAATTTTAAATTTTTTCTTCATCTGTCATCTACATCTACATCTCCTTTAGCTCGCCCACCTTCCATAGAGCCAAACACTGCAGAGTCATGGCAGAGGCAGAGACGAGGCAGAGGCAGAGGCAGCTGCCGCACACTGCAGGAAGCAGAGTGTAAATGAGAGAATGTGAAAAAATAACAACATAAGCTGCGGGACAGGGTGTGTTTAGCCATTGAAAATTGATTTCTTTATTGTGGCTATAATAATGATCCAATCAGATCCCAATTTGGTGATCTGTTAGATATGGTTATTCCCAACGGAATGGCCGTTAATCATACAAAAATGCAGTAAAAAGGCTTTAAACAGTCAAAAACAACAGAAAATGGCCACGCAAAAGACGGGCGAGTGGGCGAGTGCCCTACTGGCGCGCTTCGAGGATCAGGCAAGTGTTTTTTCAACGTGTTTCAGGTTGTTCCGTTTCAGCAAACCAAGTCGAAAAAATGTACCTGATGCTCGGTGCCTGCCTTGTCTCCTCCCAGCCTCCACCGTATTTGACTCCTGCCTGCTCTTTTCTCAATGGGATAACGATGTGGGAGGGAAGTGTGAAGCAGGGAGGCAAAGGAAACCCCTATGAATGAATGAAGTATCAATTAAATGCGTTTCTCTTTCTCTGTTTTTCTGTGTAGCTGCCGAACCGTATCGGTGCTTATGGGACACAAGCACGTATGAGCCAGGACCAACTGGTGGCATGCCTCATACACATCTCGCGCTACCGCTTCTCGTTAGTCATCTCGGGCCTAACCAAAATGCTGCAGCGCGTCAACGAAGCTGTAAGTTGAACGAAAAACATAATAAAAGAACAATTAGAAAATATATTTAAAATGTTTATAGGCACTACAAAACCGCTATGAACCGGAACGTTGCTATTTCGAATCTCTGGTCATCATTTTGACCACCCTGGAGCGTTGTCTTACCAATCAAACCAAAGATACCGCGCGGTTTGAGGAGGCAATGAATGTGAAACTGCTGCTGCGTGAAATTTCACAATTTGTGGATGTGCANAATGGCCGTTAATCATACAAAAATGCAGTAAAAAGGCTTTAAACAGTCAAAAACAACAGAAAATGGCCACGCAAAAGACGGGCGAGTGGGCGAGTGCCCTACTGGCGCGCTTCGAGGATCAGGCAAGTGTTTTTTCAACGTGTTTCAGGTTGTTCCGTTTCAGCAAACCAAGTCGAAAAAATGTACCTGATGCTCGGTGCCTGCCTTGTCTCCTCCCAGCCTCCACCGTATTTGACTCCTGCCTGCTCTTTTCTCAATGGGATAACGATGTGGGAGGGAAGTGTGAAGCAGGGAGGCAAAGGAAACCCCTATGAATGAATGAAGTATCAATTAAATGCGTTTCTCTTTCTCTGTTTTTCTGTGTAGCTGCCGAACCGTATCGGTGCTTATGGGACACAAGCACGTATGAGCCAGGACCAACTGGTGGCATGCCTCATACACATCTCGCGCTACCGCTTCTCGTTAGTCATCTCGGGCCTAACCAAAATGCTGCAGCGCGTCAACGAAGCTGTAAGTTGAACGAAAAACATAATAAAAGAACAATTAGAAAATATATTTAAAATGTTTATAGGCACTACAAAACCGCTATGAACCGGAACGTTGCTATTTCGAATCTCTGGTCATCATTTTGACCACCCTGGAGCGTTGTCTTACCAATCAAACCAAACCGATATGGTTATTCCCAACGGAATGGCCATATCTAACAAATATATATCTGCCATATCTTTCAAATTGTATGATTTGGAGGCTTTCACCCTTTTGCGGGGGCGGAAGGGGGCGGGGCTCATTTTTGAAATACACTTATAACAGTGTGAGCATACATAAGTCTGGATGCAAAATTTGAGGCTCTAGCTTTTAAAGTCTCTGAATACTATGCGCTCATCAGGGCGGACAGACGGACGGACAGACAGACATGGCTCAATCGACTTGGCTATTGATGCTGATCAAGAATATATATACTTTATGGGTTCGGAAATGTTTCCTTCTGTGCTTTACTTACAACCGTTATTCCCCACAAATACAATATACCCTATTTACTCTTCGAGTACCGGGTATAATAATTAAATATAAAAAAGCAAAGTGAGAGCCAGTGGTTCAAAAATTATTGGCTAAAATCCTATTGAAGCTTGGCCAAGACCTTATTGACACCTTCCAGGCGGGAGTAAGGAACTACCTGAATCAAAATTGATAAAAAATAACTAAATATTGAACTTCAAGAAACATGTAGGAGCATAAAAGATGGGTATTAATATGAGCTTAGGATCTCATGCTAATTATTGATCATTATTAAATTTTGAGAGCAGCTTTGAAAATTAAATTTTAATATTAATTCATGGAAATGGGCATGCAAATGCACATACAATACTATTACAAGCAACAAATTGTCAAATACGTAGTTATCCATTCCGACGCACATAACGTTTTATGCTATTTTGGTTGGTTTTATTTTATTTTTTATTTTTTTATTCTATTTGGAAACATTTTAACAAAACAAATACCTAAAAACTAGCCAATCTTGTGGAGAATTAATTGATAAATCGGATAAAATTATATTTTTAGCGCTGAGACGCCTAACTAAGAATCTTGAAAAATCAAACATAACAAAGTCGAGGAATGGGATTTAAAAGACGGTATTCTTACTGTGTATCTTTAAAATGAGAAGGTATCTTTTGGAGGGTGTTGCGGTATTATTTATCGATAACTCCGCTGTCACGCTGGTCACACTGGTGGTCGCCGTAGGTTCTTCAACTTAATCATACAAAAATGCAGTAAAAAGGCTTTAAACAGTCAAAAACAACAGAAAATGGCCACGCAAAAGCCGGGCGAGTGGGCGAGTGCCCTACTGGCGCGCTTCGAGGATCAGGCAAGTGTTTTTTCAACGTGTTTCAGGTTGTTCCGTTTCAGCAAACCAAGTCGAAAAAATGTACCTGATGCTCGGTGCCTGCCTTGTCTCCTCCCAGCCTCCACCGTATTTGACTCCTGCCTGCTCTTTTCTCAATGGGATAACGATGTGGGAGGGAAGTGTGAAGCAGGGAGGCAAAGGAAACCCCTATGAATGAATGAAGTATCAATTAAATGCGTTTCTCTTTCTCTGTTTTTCTGTGTAGCTGCCGAACCGTATCGGTGCTTATGGGACACAAGCACGTATGAGCCAGGACCAACTGGTGGCATGCCTCATACACATCTCGCGCTACCGCTTCTCGTTAGTCATCTCGGGCCTAACCAAAATGCTGCAGCGCGTCAACGAAGCTGTAAGTTGAACGAAAAACATAATAAAAGAACAATTAGAAAATATATTTAAAATGTTTATAGGCACTACAAAACCGCTATGAACCGGAACGTTGCTATTTCGAATCTCTGGTCATCATTTTGACCACCCTGGAGCGTTGTCTTACCAATCAAACCAAAGATACCGCGCGGTTTGAGGAGGCAATGAATGTGAAACTGCTGCTGCGTGAAATTTCACAATTTGTGGATGTGCAGAGCGACAGTAATCCTAATGCGGCACAGCTAAAGGCGCTGGCCTCCAAAGTGNGATCCAATCAGATCCCAATTTGGTGATCTGTTAGATATGGTTATTCCCAACGGAATGGCCGTTAATCATACAAAAATGCAGTAAAAAGGCTTTAAACAGTCAAAAACAACAGAAAATGGCCACGCAAAAGACGGGCGAGTGGGCGAGTGCCCTACTGGCGCGCTTCGAGGATCAGGCAAGTGTTTTTTCAACGTGTTTCAGGTTGTTCCGTTTCAGCAAACCAAGTCGAAAAAATGTACCTGATGCTCGGTGCCTGCCTTGTCTCCTCCCAGCCTCCACCGTATTTGACTCCTGCCTGCTCTTTTCTCAATGGGATAACGATGTGGGAGGGAAGTGTGAAGCAGGGAGGCAAAGGAAACCCCTATGAATGAATGAAGTATCAATTAAATGCGTTTCTCTTTCTCTGTTTTTCTGTGTAGCTGCCGAACCGTATCGGTGCTTATGGGACACAAGCACGTATGAGCCAGGACCAACTGGTGGCATGCCTCATACACATCTCGCGCTACCGCTTCTCGTTAGTCATCTCGGGCCTAACCAAAATGCTGCAGCGCGTCAACGAAGCTGTAAGTTGAACGAAAAACATAATAAAAGAACAATTAGAAAATATATTTAAAATGTTTATAGGCACTACAAAACCGCTATGAACCGGAACGTTGCTATTTCGAATCTCTGGTCATCATTTTGACCACCCTGGAGCGTTGTCTTACCAATCAAACCAAAGATACCGCGCGGTTTGAGGAGGCAATGAATGTGAAACTGCTGCTGCGTGAAATTTCACAATTTGTGGATGTGCAGAGCGACAGTAATCCTAATGCGGCACAGCTAAAGGCGCTGGCCTCCAAAGTGCTGTTTGCCCTGTCCCAAAATCACTTTTCGGCAGTATTTAATCGCATCTCGGCGAGGATTCAGGAGTTGACATCGTGCTCGGAGGAGAATCCCGATTACAATGATATCGAATTAATACAACATATCGATATGGACATGATTAAGCTTACCAAGCTGCTGCAAGGTAAACAGGTGGTTAAAAGATAGATAGAAAAGATACCAAAAGCGTCTCCCTTTGTTGCAGAAACTATCACAAAGTTTCGCTCTAAGCGTGCGCCGCCTTTGATTTTACTCTACTCCCTGGAGAAGGCTATTTGGAACTGGATTGAGTATCATCCACAGGAGTTTCAAGACTTGCAGCGCGGCACCAATCGCGATATATCCACGTTCGTGCATAGTTTTACTACTTTTCATAACTCCTTCATTAAGCCTTTACCTTACAGATGCTGGGAGCCACTCCTCGACTTTGTCGAGTACTTCAAGACCGAGAATAAGAAAAGCAAGACCATGGTCTGGCCTTTGCAGATGCTGCTGTTGATATTGAATCCCTCCAGCCTGGAGGCCACCGTCAACGAGCTGCAGCAGTCTGAAAAGGAGAAAGAGAAGGAAAAGGTGCCCTCAAAGTCCACACAGTCGGCATCTCGGGACAAGGACAAGGACTTTTCGGCCAGGCAGTTTATTGAGAGCATTAAGCGTGGCTTGGGCCAGCATTCGCCATCGAAGCAGGTCACCGAATCTTCAGCGATTGCCTGCGTGAAGCTATGCAAGGCCTCCACGTACATTAATATTACGGACTCGAACAATGTAGTCTTCAAGCTGGTTCAATATTTCATCAATGATTTGAAGGCGTTGCTGTTCAATCCGGCCAAACCGTTCTCACGCGGTCAAGGCTATAACTTTGCCGACATTGAGCTAATGATTGACTGCTGGGTGTCATGTTTCCGCATTAGTCCGCACAATATTGAGGCGCTGAAAGTGTGCCTGAATCTGTCATCGCCGCAGGCCTATCATTTTGTTATTGTGTGCTCGCTTTTGAGGTAATCAAGAAATTCCTTCCACAGCAGCCAGTGTCTAATGCAGTCTTTCCCTTGCAGATTGGCTCACATATACGTGGATTTTCGCCTGCAAAACAAGAATCCCTTTCGCATTGTCAACCAACCGCGTCTGTCCTGGTGGCCACAGACCGAAGTCGTCCACTATCGCTCTGCCGAGCTGCGTGCTCTTTTTACGGATACGCTAAACAAGGCCACGCAGGGGTACATTGCGCACACACCGCTGCGCTACATTACCTCCCTGACGCTTAAGTCCAAGGACACACAAAAGGGGCTGACACGCGCCGAGGAGGGACCGGCCCACAAAATGCTACTGTTGCTGCTGGTGCGACTGATACACGCTGATCCCACTCTGCTGCTGAATGTAAGTTCCGAAAGAGAAGATATCCAAGCTCCTGCTTTAACTTCTGCATTTGCAGACCCAAGGAAAAGTGGCACATGAGGTGCAAAGCTCCACTCTAGAGCTAATCAATGGTTTGGTCAGTCTAGTGCATCAAACCACCATGCCAGATGTGGCACAGGAGGCCATGGAAGCACTGCTGGCGCTGCATGCACCAGAGAAGATTGAAGTCTGGAATCCCGAGGCGCCCATCAACACTTTCTGGGACGTCAGCTCCCAAGTGTTGTTCTCCATTTCGCAGAAGCTCATCCAGCATCAGATAGCCAACTATACGGATGTGCTAAAGTGGCTGCGCGAGATATTGATCTGCCGCAATACGTTCCTGCAGCGGCACAAGGACTACGCTCACGTGGGCAGTCAGATAGCCATCTGCAAGCAGGCGCACATCAAAATGGAGGTGGTGTTCTTTATGTATTTGTGGAGCGTCGACTTGGATGCGGTGCTGACATCACTCTCGTGTTTTGGGCTGCTCTGCGAAGAGGCAGAGATATGCTGCAGCTCGGACGAATTGACAGTGGGCTTCATAATGCCCAATTATCACATATATCAGGAGTTGGCGCAGCTGTCCACTTGTGGGTTGATGAAATCGTTTGTTGATGAATCAATTTTAATGTTTATTTTGTCTTGGTTTAGCTGCAACAGATACGCGCATTTGCTTCTTTGACAACACACATGGCAATGTGTTGAGCCGCTTGACACTGCAGAAACGCATCATGACGCTGCTGCGCAAGATTGAGCATTGTGTCCATGGTGTGCAGCCCGCCTGGGAAGAGACCTTTCGCAACTGGGAGGTGTCCAGCAAGGTGCTGCAAACATATCCCAAATGCAAGGGCGAAGATGGACAGGCAGAGGTCTTTCATCGGGGCATGGGCAAGCGTAGGGCTAGTCATCAGAGTTCCGAGCACGATCTGGAGGAACAAATCAACGAATGGGCCAACATGACTTGGTTCCTGCTGGCCCTAGGCGGCGTTTGTCTGCACAAACGCTGCAGCAGCCGTCAGACATTGCTGCAGCAGTCGCCGAATAATGCCTCCCTGGGCTCTCTGGCTCAAACATCGCTGTATTCGAGCTCCACCAGCTCTGGGCATGGCTCATTGCATCCCAGCACCGTATCACTGTCGACACTGCCACCAGCACCGCCACAGGATGTCAGCTATTGCCCCGTGACGCAATTCATTGGCCAACTGTTGCGTTTGCTCGTGTGCAGCAACGAGAAGATTGGCCTCAACATACAGAAGAATGTCAAAGAGCTGGTGGGCGAGGAAATGTCCACCCAGCTGTATCCCATACTCTTCGATCAGATTCGGGCCATTGTGGAGAAGTTCTTTGACCAGCAGGGCCAAGTGAATGTCAATGTAACGGACATTAATACGCAATTTATTGAGCACACAATCTACATCATGAAATCAATACTGGACCCCAAGGCCAGCAAGGATCCCAACAACGAGCAGCCGTCGCCCTCGGAGCACTTGGGCGTGACGAGCATTGAGGGCATGATGCTGGGGATTGTGCGTTATGTACGCCATCTGGACATGACCGTCTATGCCATAAGAGTGAAAACCAAACTCTGCCAGCTGGTGGAGGTAATGATGAAGCGACGCGACGATCTGGCCTTCCGTCAAGAAATGAAGTTTCGCAACAAGCTGGTGGAATACCTCACCGACTGGGTAATGGGCACCTCCCATCAGATTGCACCGCCCAGCTCCGCGGATGCTGCCATATTGACAAACACATCGCTGATCTTTCGAGACTTGGATCAGGCGTGCATGGAGGCAGTGGCTGCGCTACTACGAGGTCTTCCGCTGCAGCCAGAGGAATCGGATCGTGGCGATCTAATGGATGCAAAGAGTGCGCTCTTTTTAAAATATTTTACGCTGTTCATGAACCTACTGAATGATTGCATCGACAGCTCGGAGGCCGAGAAGGAGCTGAACAACACACCGTTGCTGCCGCCAAGGCCACGCATGGCTGCCGGCAAGCTGACGGCACTGAGAAATGCCACCATCCAAGCCATGTCCAATCTGTTGGGTGCCAACATCGACTCTGGTCTGATGCACTCGATTGATTTGGGTTATAATCCCGATCTGCAGACGCGTGCAGCTTTCATGGAAGTCCTCACACAAATCCTGCAACAGGGCACAGAGTTTGACACGCTGGCGGAGACGGTGCTGGCCGATCGCTTCGAGCAGTTGGTTCAGCTGGTGACGATGATCAGCGACAAGGGTGAGCTTCCCATTGCCATGGCACTGGCCAATGTGGTAACGACCTCCCAAATGGATGAACTGGCGCGCGTTCTCGTCACCCTGTTCGATGCAAAGCACTTGCTGTCGCCGCTGCTGTGGAACATGTTCTATCGCGAAGTGGAGGTCTCCGACTGCATGCAGACGTTATTTCGAGGCAACTCGCTTGGCAGCAAGATTATGGCATTTTGCTTCAAGATCTATGGTGCCAGCTACTTGCAAATGCTGCTGGAGCCGCTCATACGCCCACTGCTGGATGAACAGGAGGTGACGTGTTTTGAGGTGGATCCCGCACGGCTGGAAGCTGGCGAGGATATCGAACAGCATCGCAATAATTTGATTGCACTGACCCAAAAAGTTTTTGATGCCATAACCAACTCTTCGGATCGCTTTCCGCCACAGCTGCGCTCCATGTGCCATTGTTTGTACCAGGTGCTGAGCAAGCGCTTTCCGAATCTGCTCCAAAACAACATTGGGGCCGTGGGCACAGTCATCTTTTTAAGGTTCATAAATCCAGCTATAGGTGACACATCCACAGAGACATAAGACACAATCTGAACACTAATCCCTGCTCGTTCTTCCCTTAGTTTCTCCCCAGGAACTTGGCATCGTGGATAAGCAGGTGCACAGCTCGGCCAAACGGGGTCTCATGTTGATGTCAAAGATACTACAGAATATTGCCAATCATGTGGAGTTCTCCAAAGAACAGCACATGTTGTGCTTCAACGATTTTCTGCGCGATCACTTCGAGGCTGGTCGTCGATTCTTCATACAGATTGCCTCGGATTGCGAGACCGTAGATCAGACATCGCATAGCATGAGCTTCATTTCGGATGCGAATGTTTTGGCGCTGCATCGACTACTGTGGACGCATCAGGAGAAGATTGGGGACTATCTGTCAAGCAGTCGCGATCACAAGGCGGTGGGCAGGCGACCATTTGATAAAATGGCCACACTCTTAGCCTATCTAGGCCCGCCGGAGCACAAGCCCGTGGATTCGCACATGATGTTCAGTTCGTATGCACGCTGGAGCTCCATTGATATGTCTTCCACTAACTTTGAGGAGATAATGGTCAAGCATCAGATGCACGAGAAGGAGGAGTTCAAGACGCTCAAGTCGATGAATATATTCTATCAGGCGGGCACCAGCAAATCGGGTTATCCCGTTTTTTACTATATAGCCAGGAGATACAAGTACGTGACCCTTCAAGTCCACTGTTAGCTAACTAAGATTTTATTCTCTTATTTCAGAATTGGCGAGACAAATGGGGATCTATTGATCTACCATGTCATACTCACATTGAAGCCGTTTTGCCACTCACCCTTCGAGGTGGTCATTGACTTCACGCACACCTGCTCGGATAATCGCTTTCGCACAGAGTTCCTGCAGAAGTGGTTCTATGTTTTGCCTACTGTCGCCTATGAGAATGTCCATGCGGTGTACATTTACAACTGCAATTCGTGGGTGCGAGAGTATACAAAGTTCCACGATCGCATATTGGCTCCATTGAAGGGCAATCGCAAGTTGATGTTCCTGGAGTCACCGAACAAGCTGACGGACTATATTGATGCGGAGCAGCAGAAGCTGCCAGGTGCCACACTCTCGCTGGATGAGGATCTCAAGGTGTTTAGCAATGCTTTGAAGCTGAGCCACAAGGACACAAAGGTTGCTATTAAAGTTGGTCCCACCGCACTGCAGATTACGTCGGCGGAAAAGACCAAAGTGCTGGCCCATTCGGTGCTGCTGAATGATGTCTACTATGCCTCGGAGATTGAGGAGGTTTGCCTGGTGGACGACAATCAGTTTACGCTGTCGATAACAAACGAAAGTGGGCAGCTAAGTTTCATCCACAATGACTGCGACAACATTGTGCAGGCCATTATACACATACGCAATCGGTGGGAGCTAAGTCAGCCAGATTCGGTGACGGTACACCAAAAGATCAGGCCGAAGGATGTGCCAGGCACGCTTCTTAATATGGCCCTGCTGAACCTCGGCTCTTGTGATCCCAATCTGCGAACAGCTGCCTACAACCTGCTGTGCGCTTTGACAGCCACCTTTGACCTGAAGATTGAGGGACAACTGCTGGAGACGCAGGGGTTGTGCATACCCTCAAACAACACAATCTTCATAAAGTCGGTCAGCGAGAAGCTGGCCACCAATGAGCCGCATTTGACACTGGAGTTTCTGGAGGAATCCATTCAGGGCTTCCAGCGCAGCACCATCGAGCTGAAGCATTTGTGTTTGGAGTACATGACGCCCTGGCTGAAGAATCTCGTCAAGTTCTGCAAGTCCAATGACGATGCCAAGAAGCTAAAAGTTTCGCAGATCCTGGACAAGCTGATCAATCTCACCATAGACCAAAAGGAGATGTACCCATCGGTGCAGGCCAAAATCTGGGGTTCCATTGGTCAAATACCGGAGCTCATTGACATGGTGCTGGATAATTTTCTGCACAAATCGATTACGTACGGCCTGGGCTCGCCGCAGGTGGAGATTATGGCCGATACTGCTGTGGCTTTGGCTTCGGCCAACGTGCAGTTGGTGTCCAAGAAGGTAATCACGCGCATGTGTCGTGTGATGGACAAATCGTGCACGAATCCCACACAATATCTGGAGCAGCACATGATGTGGGATGATATTGCCATACTTGGACGCTATCTGTTGATGTTGTCGTTCAACAACTGCTTGGATGTGGCTACTTCGGTACCGTACTTATTCCACACCATCACGTTTTTGGTCTGCTCTGGTTCGCTGTCGATGCGAGCTTCCACGCATGGTCTGGTCATCAATATCATTCACTCGCTGTGCACCTGCACGAACCCCTCCTTTTCGGAGGAGGCGCAACGTGTGCTGAGACTCTCACTGGATGAATTCTCGCTGCCAAAATTCTACCTACTCTTTGGCATCAGCAAGGTCAAGTCGGCGGCAGTCACCGCGTTCCGGTCCAGCTGCCGCCATCCCACGGACAAGTGGCTGGGCAATGAGCGCGTCACACAACCATTGCCTGCGGATCGGGAGCGCCTTTCGCTGCCCTCACTGGAGGTTATTACTGATGCCCTACTGGAGATAATGGAGGCCTGCATGCGCGATGTCTCCGACTGCGAATGGCTGCAAACTTGGACCTCGTTGGCTCGCAGCTTTGCCTTCTGCTACAATCCGGCGCTGCAGCCGCGCGCCCTCATTGTCTATGGCTGCATCAGCAAGAGTGTGACGGATCACGAGGTGAAGCAACTGCTGCGCATTCTGGTCAAAGCGTTGGAATCATTTAATGATCTTATACTAATCGAAGCACTGGTCATGTGCCTGACGCGCATTCAACCACTGCTTCGACCCGAATCGCCCATTCACCGTGCCCTCTTCTGGGTGGCCATCTCAGTGCTGCAACTGGACGAGATTACGCTCTATGGTGCTGGCCTAGCACTGCTCGAGCAGAATCTACACACGCTCAAGTCCCAAGGATGTTTTGACAAGAAGGAAACCATAGCCGAGGTCATGATGAAGACACGCGAGAAGCTCGAGTGGCATTTCAAGCAGCTGGACCATGCCGTCGGTCTGTCATTCCGTAGTAACTTTCACTTTGCTTTGGTGGGGCATTTGATTAAGGTGAGTTTTGTGCAACAGTTTGGTAAGTTTTTTATACCCGGTACTAGGAGAGTAAATTGGGTATATTATTGTTATTGTTATTGTATATTGTATTTGTATGGAAAAGTGAATGTATGTAACCACTAAGCAAACAAATCATAGAGTGTGCAAACGTGGTAAAAAATGGCTGCCTAACCAGTTTAGTGGATTGGCTCCCAGTGCCTTCGGCTCTTGGTGAGATAGCCTTCGGCTGAGAGAGTTTGGCGTTGGCTCTCTTTAGCTTTGAACGCAAAGCGACTCTCGCAAAAACAAAGTTTTGTTTTTCTTTTCAAGTCTGCTTCGTAATTTCATGTGTGCGGTTTCACATGATGGCAATGCGTGTATCTATTCTCGATTTCATATGCGTTTTCATTTTTAGCGCTTGAGACGTTTGGCACTTTTGTGTTGCTTATGAGCTCACATACCCTTCCTTCAAACTTGAGTCTTTCAGCTTGCCCCAAAAAATAAATAAATTGACTTTGTGTATCCTCTCTATGCTCATATATTTCTTAAATACAGTTAGGACGAAAGGGATAAACGGTTATAAACATGTAAATATGTATATAAATAATGAATAACCGCAATTGACTTGTTGCAAATATTTTCCATTAGAGTATTCATTGTACACTGTGTGAATAAACATAGTTGTTTGCTTAGTGATGTAACGCATAGAAGGAAACGTTTCCGACTCCATAAAGTAAATATATATATATATTTTTTTAATCAGCATCAATAGCCGAGTCGATATAGCCATGACTGTCTGTCCGTCCGTCTGTACGTCTGTACATCTGTCCGTCTTGTTGAGCGCCTGGATTAATAAGACTATAAAAACGAGAAGGGACGTGTGAGACGCTTTTTACACGTCACAACTTTTATACCCGGCACTCAGGACTACATCTGCACCTTAGCGGTTATTTGTCAAATTTTAAATTTTTTCTTCAACTGTCATCTGCATCTACAAAACTTCTCACACCAACACGCTCCTTTAGCTCGCCGACCTTCCCTAGACCCACAGACTGCAGGCTCACGGCAGAGGCAGCGCCCGCACACAAAAAAAAAACGAGAAGGGACGTGTGAGACGCTTTTTACGCGTCACAACTTTTATACCGGCACTCAGTACTACATCTGCACCTTAGCGGTGTTTTGTCAATTTTTAAATTTTTTCTTCAACTGTCATCTACATCTACAACACTTCTCACACCAACACGCTCCATTAGCTCACCCTTCCCTAGACCCACACACTGCAGACTCGAGGCAGAGGCAGAGGCACCGTCCGCACACAAAAAAAAAACAAATAAAAGCTTCGGGACGGGGTGGGTTAAAAGTCGGTAGAGGCATCGGCAGGGGGAGGGCAGAGGCAGGGGCCGAGTGAAGCAGAAGTAGAGTGTGAATGAGAGAATTTGGTGATCTGATAGATATGGCCATTTCCTACGGAATGGCGTTTTTAGTTTTCTTGTATCTTCAAAATTGTAGTAGTCTCACACGTCCCTTCTCTTTTAATTTATGCTTCCTTCCTTTAGGGCTTCCGTCATCCTACACCGACTACTGTATCGCGCACATCACGTGTGCTAACCATGCTGCTGGGCATCATAGCCAAGCCGCTGCGTCGCGACAAGTTCGAGGTAACCCCTGACAGTGTGGCATATCTCACGGCGCTGGTGGCAGTGTCCGAGGAGGTGCGCTCACGTTGTCATGTGAAGCATGCACTGCCACGCTGGCCCGCCGATCTGAGCGTAGAGAATGCAGAAACGTCTAATGGAGGAGTTCAGGCTGTAAGACACATACAAGAGATCAAATGACACAAAAAATAAATATATTTTTCACCGTCTTTGACAGATTGGCCAGCCCTTATCCCGCCGACAAAAGAGCTGGGACATACTCGATCAGTCTGCGTTGCAGTTTGCACGCCAGCACAAGGTTCCCACGCTACAGGTAAAGGCTCGCACATGTACACCTCGCACTTCCCCTATCTCATTTGTTCGCAGTTCGCTGTAAAAAAGTTATTATAACAATCTGCTATAGTAACTTTTGGCCATCTATTTGAGCCTGTCTCTATATATACCCACCTACCATATCTGACTATAACTATCAGATCGAGCCTCCTGCATAACTAATAAACGTTCAATGATGTTTTTCTTATTTCTCTTTTATTATTTGTAAAAAAAAAAACGTTTCGTTACATACACATAAATCACCAAATATATACTCGTATATATGTATACCGTTAACATGCCTGCCTGTCGATTCTTACCACATCTAATTGGTGCTTGTAACTCTCATCAAAATATATGAAAAAATCAATCAAACTATACACATCCAACACTTCTCTGATACTACTGCCTAATAATCTACTCTACGCATGAAACGTCATTTCGTTTCGGTTTGACACAACACAACAAACAAACAACATTAAATCAAAATACATTGGTAGAATGCGCGAGTTTTATTCAAAACTCAACGCTCATTCTCGGTCCCAACAACCAAAGATCCGAGCAATGTAGCCGGCATCGAAGAACGTCAGGTATTGCCTCTACAAACATTATCTTAAATCTCTTAGCTAAAAAACAAAAACTAACATCTATGTTACAACTCTTACCACTCTAAGTTCCCCTCTTTCGCTCTCTCTCTACTTAAACCCACTCAAAAGAAAATATGTCCCCATGCTTTTAGTATTAGTTATTCCTTAGTTTTTTTATATTTGCATGGTATTGCATGTACTCTTCCATTCAAATTAATCATTGCACATTTTCGTACACCATTTTTTTTACCTATGGTAGCCAACATCTTCACGTACTTTTTAATCTATGTGTGTGTGTGTGTATGTATGTATTAGGTTGTGATTGCTCTTTAGCAAATGAATAAAAAATATTGTCGTGTAAACCATATTTCAAAACAGGAACGCGGCTCACGGTCTTCGGTATCCAACGAGTCGAATGTTTTACTAGATCCCGAAGTCCTACCCGATTTATCCATACAAGCCCTGGTGCTAACGGTGCTGGCTACATTGGTTAAGTACTCCTCGGAGGAGGTTGAAACACGCGTATTGTATCAGTATTTAGCCGAAGGATCTGTTGTCTTTCCTAAAGTATTTCCAGTCATGTAAGTGCACTTATCAAAAGTATTTTCATGCAGCTTTATATACCTTTATATTCTTTTTTTTTAGCCACTCGTTGCTGGACCAAAAGATCAACAATATATTGTCAGTGTCGCACGATCAGGTTGTGCTCAACTCGGTGCAGAATATTATCCAAAATATGCTGGCCAGCGAGGATCCCTCACAGCAGCAGTTGCACTTTCTACAGAGCTGCGGTTTTGGTGGACTTTGGCGTTTTGCTGGTCCATTTACCAAGGTAGGTCTATGACTAGAAATCTTATAGCAATAAACAATAATCAATTTATTTCCAGTACAACATGATGGGTGAATCATCAGAGCTATTTGTCAACTGCTTGGAGGCCATGGTTGAGACTTGCTTGCCCGGCGATGAAACTGCACCAGTGCCACCCTCTCCACGTCCTTACAACCTTAGCTCCAGCCTGAGCAGCCTGACCATGGGCTCACCTACGGATAAGGGTGAGTAGATAGAGCTTGAACGGTGTATATAGCGTTTGTTTTCTTCTACTAGCATTCCCAATCTAATGAACACATGAATAACTGTATTAAACAATACTCTTTACTCAAATTTAACCTTTTCTCTGTATCACCACGATTATATATTTATATAGCATTCTCATCGGAATCATTAGATATGTACGACAATTGTGCGGGCAGCGCTAGCAGCCTGCGACGCGCCTCTCACAGCAAATCACGCGTCAAACATCGAATTAATGACAGTCCCCCACATTAAAACTATAAAAAAGAAATTAAAAAAAAAAAACAAGTACTAAATAACACTAATGGCAACAATTGCAAAACTAGCTCCGAAATATATAAAATTGCTAAAACACAATAGAAAAGCTACGCTGTTCGGTACACGATATATATTTAAAAAATATTCCAAATTAAATGTATTTTATAATTGTCTATGCTTTGCCAAATCGAAACACTTTAAAAAGTTTGATTGAAATGAAAATCGAAAAATGATAAACACGGAAAGTTGTTGTCAAAAAGATAATGCACAACATACGAGAACTTACATATGCCGTCTACTAGCAAATTGATGTTCGATAATATTTGGGTGTGACTTAAAAGTAGTGTAGTTTGTTTCCATACATTTCGTTTTTTCAAATTCGAAACAAAACGAACTTAACCAGCGCTAAAAGGGAAGAGGAAAACAATTAAAGACATCAAATGTTACATTGTAACAAACCGCAATAAAAATACACACATCTACATCTAAATATATCTATGATTTGCATGCCCAGATGATTTACATATAACACAATAGAATAACTAAGAACACTCTCTACTTGCAAAAAAACTCAATATTTCACTTTTCAGTAGCCTTAAACATGACTAGACATGCAATCAGATATATCAAGATTTTATATACGAGTATATTTTTATTACAATTTGAACTTTTATACATGAAAAATCAAGCTAAGAAATAAGTAACAAATGTCAGCTTCTCCTTACTAATCGATTTGTCAACCATCCAAAAATCATGGTCCTACCGTCAATGTGTTTATGCAAAATCTTTTGTCTTATTTTCAGCTGCATGAATACCAACTACAGACCCTCGCACTAGACGCACCACACTTGTCGCAATAGTAATGCGTTTCCTAAATCTATTTAAGAAGTACTTTTAGTGAAAGGACAACACCAAACCACACCACTCCCACAGAAAGTCGTACAAAAAAAAGCTATAGAATGTTTATATATTGATACATGTATATTGCCTAGAGAGAAGATATGTACAGCGAGCGGCAGATGTGAGAGAGCGTTAAAAGATAAGTGTAAAAATGTTGTGTATATATGTATGTATGTATGTGGACTTGTAGAATGGATACGGGAAAGGAAAGGTCTTCAACTGCAACTGCAACCACATAATAGATGGACGAAGCGGAAATATTTTTTACCGCAGATCGATTGTTACGTTTTAAATATATTTTGTAGAGCACGTAAGCAAAGAGATCACCAGTTCCTGAGAAGACGACAACGGCCCGGCACCTTAGCGGTTGTCAAATTTTAAATTTTTTCTTCAACTGTCATCTGCATCTACAACACTTATCACATCAACACGCTCCTTTAGCTCGCCGCCCTTCACTAGACCCACACACTGAAGACTCGCGGCAGAGGCAGAAGAAGCGCCCGCACACAACAAAACATATATAAGCTTCGGGACGGGGTGGGTTAAAAGTCGGCAGAGGCAAAGGCAGGGGCCGAGTCAAGCAGAAGCAGAGTGTGAATGAGAGAATGTGAAAAGAACAACAAAAGCTGCGGGACAGGGTGGGTTTAGCCACAGCAAATTAATTTCTCCATTGTGTGGGATATAATAATGATCCAATCGGATCCCAATTTGGTGATCTGATAGATATGGCCATTACCTGCGGAATGGCGTTTTTAGTTTTCTTTTGTCTCCAAAATTGTAGATTTATGAGGTTTTCGCCCTTCTGCAGGGGCGGAAGGGGGCGTGGCTCATTTTTGAAATACACTTGTTACAGTGTGAGCATACAGAAGTCTGGATGCAAAATTTGGTGGCTCTAGCTCTTATGGTTTTGAGATCCAGGCGCTCAACAAGACGGACGGACAGACATGGCTCAATCGACTCGGTTATTGATGCTGATCAAGAATATATATACTTTATGGGGTCGGAAACGTTTCCTTCTGTGCGTTACATACAACCGTTATTCCCCACAAATACAATATACCCTATTTACTCTTCGAGTACCGGGTATAAAAAAAAAACAAAACAAAAACTATTCAATCAAACGAAAATAAAACGAGAAGAGACGTGTGAGACGCTTCTGACGCGTCACAACTTTTATACCCGGTACTCAGTACTAATTCTGTACCTTAGCGGTTCTTATATAATTTGTCTTTTTTTTCTTCATCTGTCATCTACATCTACAACACTTCTTACGCCAACGCGCTCCTTTAGCTCGTTTTATAGTCTATGAGATCCAGGCGCTCAACAAGACGGACGGACAGACAAACTTTGCTCTATTGACTCGGCTATTTTACCCATGGTATACTCTAGCAAACTGTCGCAGATTTCTTCATGAGATGGCCCAGCAATTTTTCATTAGATTTGCATATGTAGATGGGTCTCGGGTCACCAGGACATTAGGCCATTAGGCATTAGATTTGGTACTACAGTGCCCAAGACAAGAAAACACATCTGTTCTTTTAGGACAAGGAATTAATTTTTACTCCATATGGTCTATGAGAACGAGGCGTCAAACAAGAGGGACGGACAGACAGACACAAATACAATATACCCTATTTACTCTTTGAGTCCCTGGTATAAAAAGCAAGGAGTTGTCCCTCGACATTGTCCCGTGCGATATTTTGGGTTCCCTGCGAAATACCCTGTGCAACCCCGTACCCCGTTTTAACAGTTAAAACATGTTCAATCATGCTCACTCATGTCCAATCAAGTTGTTTGAGTTGTTCAATCATGTATTATCATGTTCAATCAAACTGTTCAAGTTATTCAATCATGTTAAATCCTGGCCTGCTAACGATAAGGTAGCGTATACCATATACTACCGAGTCCGTTTGTAATTTTTTGAAAATTTCTTTGGGGTATAATTTTAACTTGCTTACACTTATTTGTAGTTTTTAAACTTTTGAACATGCATACATATGTATGTATCTTTGAAGTTGTACATCCCCTTTTATATTTAATTATGTTGCTACTTCGGAACGGAAACCAAACGAAACTTTTTGCATTGTGTTAAACACTTCCTTAAGTTGATCAAAGTTATATGAGCATCATAGATTTCAATTTTATGGAAATGGTTCCAATATAGAGCTGATATATCAACTATATACATATATTCAAGTATTTTTCTTTGCTGCTTATATGAGCATCATAGATTTCGATTTTTTGCCTTCTTGATTTTGAATCCAGATGGCTGTATAGCCACACTGTTACAAGTGTATTTAAAAAATTTCGCCCAGCCTCCGCAAAGGTCGAAAGTCTGCTGTATTCTCAATGTTGAAGATAAAAGAAAACTAAAAACGCCGTTAAGTAGGTAATGATCATATCTATCAGATTATTCGGATAAGATTGAATCATTATTATAGCCAGAATGAAGACATAAATTTGAAGTGGCTAAGCCCACCCCGTCTAGCAGCTTTTTTTTCACATTCTCTCATTCCACACTCTGCAACGCCTTCTCTTCAGTGTAAAATCGGAATTTGTTTTTTTTTTTTAATTTTGGCGTACAACAAATTAAGGAAGTTTGTTAATCAATGCAATATTATGCAATGCAATTGCAAGAAAAGGCGTTCCTCGATTTTAAAGAAATATAATTTTTAAATAGAGTTTTTGCCAAAAGAAATGGTAAAAGTCCCATAGTGCATTGCAGCGACCGTTTATTCCAGTTCTTTATGAAGTAATATATGTAAGCTCTTATCTCGCGCTCTATCCATCGGTCGCGCTATCCAGTCTCAGTTATATTAATAATAGTGTTATCTCTTAATCGTTGGAGAGTCTTAAGTTAAGGCTTACTAACTTACTAAACGCATTGCTTGTGCAGTGTACTTTCGTAACGCGTGGTATAAAGTGAAGTTTTCGTAATGGGCCGTACTTCCCAATTCTTTCTTTTATAGTGGGTGGGGATTTTCGGGATATGGTTTTATGGGTTTTTTTTTTGCAAAGTAATGCACCGAATGGTACTGCAACTTATTATGAAAGCTCAACACTAAATATAAAGAATAATAGTGAGATCCTTAAAATTCGTCCTTGAAGGACTATTTATATAAAGATCAGGAATATACATACAGTCATCATAACAAACCACTCTGTTCAAAGGATAATCAATTTAACTTATATTTTCAACTTTTTAAATAAAAGTTACGGAATAACTCTTATTTTCAAATTTATAATAAAAATCAACAATTACTCTTATTATTGATTTTTATTATAAAAATCATAATTAATTCTTATTTTTGATTTTAAAATTATAAATTTAAAAAAACTCTTAATTCTGATTTTTATTGAAAAAATTAAAAATAAGTGTTATTCGTAACTTTTATATAAAAAAGTTTAATATAATTCTCAATTTTTACTTTTAAAGTTATAAAAGTTCCCCTTTCTGCAAATAACCGCTAAGGTACAGATGTAGTACTGAGTGACGGGTATAAAAGTCTTACACGTCCCTTCTCGTTTTAATTTTAATTTTAATTATTGTTATTCTTTTTCCCACCTAAGTTCATCATTCATATAAAATAACTTAACTTATTTAATTCACCAACATTTATTAGGAAGTGAAACACCAAAACGAACTGAAGAAAACAAACCCCTTTATCCTTTTATACCCTCTGCTAAACGACTCCAGCAGTCCGCTTTTAATGAAAATTAGTTTTTAAGACAAAACAGAAAAATCCGAGTTTTAAATCGAAGTAGTGTTGATAAGCGTATCCAAGCGAAACAAAAAAACAACCTTACGAATGTTAGACACACTTGTACCTCTTATTAAACAACAACGCAACAACTTAGCCCGTTCAACTTACCTTCTAGCACAAAGAATTTGATTATTATATTTAAATTTGTATCTTATTGTATTACACAAGCGTTCTAAGCGAATATTTAACAACCAAACAAACCAAAAATCAAACTAAACTAGCGACTAGCTAACACGTTAATTTTCATTAATTAGTCTATATGTATATGTGTGTGTTGCTATATGTGTATTTAACGAGTTTAATGTATCTTCGTAAAAACCTAAAATCTATCAATGTACAAGTATATCGAACAAAAATTAATTTACTTTCAATAAACCGTTTAAATAATTTTGATGGTTTTATTTTATGCTAAATGTGTTTAAGGAGAAGAACATTTTTATACCCGGTACTCGAAGAGTAAATAGGGTATATTGTATTTGTTCACAAAAGTGGATTTGTGTGGAAGTGCTTTACATACGCACAGAGGGAAACGTTTCCGACCCCATAAAGTATACATATACATATGTACATATATTCTTGAGCAGCATCAATAGCCGAGTCTGTCTGTGTGTCCGTTTGTCGGCTAGTTCTCAGAGACTATAAAAGCTAAAGCCACCAAATTTGTCCACCAGACTTCTGCCCAATCGAACCGTCTAGAAATGATTGCGAAAAGTCCCGGACCACCGGATATTGCCGTCACAGGTACCAGATCTGTGGTGCCAAAACCTCTGGTGGGAGTCCCACCAAAGCGGCAAGTTTTTGTCTCTCGGCTTGCCCCTGACCTCACATCTAATGATGTAACTGCTTGCATACAAAGCAAAATAAAAGCCGTTGGCTTAAAGGTGGAGAAGTTTAATTTCTCTTATACCAGGGAGATATCCTCTTTCAAGATTAGCGTGTCTTCAACTCATTTCGAGACCATTTGCTCTTCCAAATTTTGGCCAGAGCACCTGGTTGTGAAAGAGTTTAAGGCTAATATGAAAAATAGGCCCCCCATAACTCCTCCTAATAGTGAGGCCAGTGGTCCTTCCTCCTCTGCTCCATCCACCTCTTCCCACTGCAATTCCTTGCAGTCAAAAAACTATCATCCCTCTTTGTAGCCTATCAAAATGCTCGCGGCTTACGTAGTAAGCTGACCACTCTTTTTTTGGATAGTTTCACATTTTCATCCCATGTTATTGTGTTTACCGAAACCTGGTTAAAGCCGGACATTCTTAGTTCCGAAGTTTTGGTAGATCGGTACACAATTTATAGGAATGATCGTTCGTCTCGACGTGGAGGAGGGGCTCTGATTGCAGTAAACTCTTACTTTACGTCGGAACTTTTCATAGTTCAGGTCTCACAAGACCTGGAATTCCTCTGTGTTAGACTGATTCTTCCCGGCCAGTCTATTTATGTCACTTGCTCGTATATTCCACCGAATTCGGATGTACTAATATACGAGCAGCATTTGTCTGCCTTAAAAACTGTTTCTTCCTCGTTATCTGATAAAGACCATTTAATAGTTCTTG